TGTTGTCTGCTTGCTTTTCTATCGTTTGTCCTGAAGATATACTATATCTTTTGTGGTCTTTTTATCTTTTCTCTCTCTTCTCCCTTCTAAGGCATCACTCTCTTTTCTTTTTTTGTTTTGTTTTTTTTCCCTCCTTGTGTCGTGACTCCCTATGTGAAGGACATGGAGAGGATGAGGAGGGAGGGACGCTTATAATTTGTTATTTGTCTAAAAATATATGTTTTCCTGATTATGTGAAATGTACAGAGGTGCACACCAGCAGACACGTCTCTTAATATAGTTATCTTTGCCTTCTTATTACGTTAGTAATGATTTGGCATGGGAATTGTGGAAGTTGTGTGCTTTTTATCGGAACGGTTTAAGAGAGGGGAGCTAACCTAAAATAGGAAATAGAAAAGATGATAATCCGCGTCCCCTGTTTGGCACCTTGCACATTATAAAAGTTAGATTGGATTTTTGTGTGAGGAATATATGGCAAGATAGACGTGTTTAATTGGTGGCATGCATTCTTTTCCAACCGCGGTTTTCTAGCCAATGGATTTTCTCGCACGATTTGCATAGGTTGTTTGATATCTATAGCTCTCTTACTTTTGTTTCTATAAATGCAATTGTATTGTGTATACAACTTTAGGGATCATTCTTTATGGTGTAGATTGTTCTTTTTTAAAAAAATTCATACAGTAAAATTCATTCTACAGCATGGTTCTTTTAAGCATCTCTTTATACCGTACTAATAAATAGATACAGAGCTTATATAACAATATGATTATTCCCACTGTATCTAAAATCTGTTACTTCACATGTCCTGCATGTATGCATAGCCATCTATGTATATCTTACAGTTGGAGGGGGAAAACATAATATGTGGTTGGTGACTTTCATCAATCTCAATCTCAATCCCAAGCTATACTAGCCAGTCTTTCGAAGTTTCCATAGGGATCGAGTGTATGTATTTGTATTAATAGGGGTGAGCGCGCGCGTTGTAACTGACTGTATAAAAAGAATGTATGTTCCTATTGCACATAATTGTGCATTTGATACGAATTCGGTGAGGTCTACTAATCTATTTTGTGTGGTATGCATATATATATCCCTCGTGTAATGGAAAAACAAAATTAAACGGGGCTTTCAATCATCATTTTTTTAAGTTCGAATCTGAGGCTACTTTTGCCACAAGTTGTGTTTCAAACCAAAAATATCCGGCCATCCGCACAAATTTATCATGCTTTAAATTAGATGCATACTCGGCTTGGGAGAAATTTAGGTGACGTTAGGTCTCGGCTTTAAGGAGAGTTTTGTTCAAACCAACCTTAATTTTGCATGTAGGTATAAGCTGTTAAAATTAGATTTGGCAACGAAAATTTAGACATAGAAAACAAAGGTTATCTTGCACGTTTTGTTCTTCTTCTTCTTCCAATTATAGAGTTGGTGCTTGCAGGTTGTAACTTGTCAAGTCCCACGTGATTACTGACTAAGTGACATTCTATCATTATATCATTATAGACATAGTACGCTGTCACCTCCTTTCCCTTCCTCCGTGCTTTTCCAACGAGGGGGCCGCTTGTTTATGCCGCGGCTAATTTTAAATTTTACAATTTAATTTTAAAAATTAATGTGTAAGCATTCTGTCATTTGTTACTCAGTCTAGAGGTTTGAACCACTAAGATATTGAAGTGTAAATCTTGAAATTATTTTTCATTATATCAGTCATGTGTCTTTCACTTATATAATTAAATGGTAGCACCAATAATTATTTTTCACTCTGAGAAAGTATTGGCAGGGCTGCACATAGCATTACGAAGGTACAATGTTTTCCATGGCGATCTCCACCGGACAACTGGGCGAAACTCAATGTGGTGGATGGAGCCTTTTCCTCGGAAGATAGAAAAGGTACAATCAAGATTGTGGTCAGAAATTCCACAGGATATGTTCTCACCTCATGGCAGAGGCGGATCAAGTGTTGGTGTTGGGGAGACTCATGATCCTCCGCTGAATCGCGAGTCACCCGAGCACCCACACTGGATCACCATTGATAGTAGAAAAGAGGGGATAGGAGGAAGAGTAGGGGGTTGAAGGAGAAAGAAGGAGATGAGTCCTCTCTCTAATCTTATTATGGATCCGTCCCTGCTCATGGAGATTCATCAGAAGGTGTGCACGCTGGAGGAGGTAGAACTGATGGTCCAATGTTTTTTTCACCGGGCAACAGATGGCATGACGTAAAGGTTTAAAATTTACAACTAAATGGGTACCGATGCTAGTTGAACTTAAGATAGATTGTGCCACTATAATTGCAAGACTGTCGAGATATTCCTACTATACGAAACAAAGAAAACAATGTCGTTGTCTAGGAAGTTCGACTGATGCACTGTAAAAGAAAGTGTAATAGAGTAGCTCATGAACTTGCTTAAATTGTTAATGTTCAAAATGCAGTATGATTTGGGCGTAATAATGCACCGACTAGTGCTATGCAGTATTTACAACAAAAATCATAATCCTATTAAGCTGTCCCCCCCCCCAAAAAAAAACAAATAAAAAAGCATTGCATTTCAACAATTCCAACATACAAGCAAGCCAGGTAGTAGAAAAAACACGGTTTAGATACCCTACTTCAAGTGTACCATTTCATTGGATAGTTTAACCCTCAAAGTATTTTTTTTTCTCATTTTACTCTAAATTACTTGAAAATGATTCACTTTACTCTTAATAACATTTCTCTCTCTTTTTTTCTCTTTATATAAGTTGTATTTTGAGTTGCAACCTTTTGAAGTCATAGATAACACCATCATCAAAATTGAAAAAAAAATCATCAAATTTTTCATGGCTATTTGCTTGAACTCTAAAATACCAATGTTTAAATTAGTATTAGGTGTTTCCAGCCTATATAAACAATGACAAAAAATCTAAAAAAATGTTGAGACTTAAGTTGTAATGTATCTATCATTCTATCAAACTTTAATATTCTATCATCCTACCAAATTTCAGTATAATATATGACTTTTATATAGATAAAAGAGAGAGAAATAACGTTAAGTAGTAGTAAAGTAAATCAATTTCAACAATCTGGGTGTAAAATAAGCGGAAAATATAGTTTAGAAGGTTAGTGCTCTATAAACTAGTTCGAAGTAAAATATATCTTACACTATCTCTTGCTAAAACTACTCATCAGTAGTAGTTTTCCTTTTCCAAAATCTGGATTTTTTTAATTACTTTTGTTTTTTAAAACTAATGAAATAAGCCCATGGAAAAACTTATTTTAGAAATGGACTCTGAAAATGATCCTAGCATGATTTGGCAATATTTACATTATGTTGACCATTAGGATTGGCACGTAGTCTAGTCGGCTACAATGACGATGAATGTTTTGCACCCAGTCCAGGCCGGTAGAGTCCTTTCTTCCAAGCTAACGGATGAAGTATCACCGCAGGCACACTTCTCAAGCTCCTGCACAAGCAAAACCTTTCTTCATATATATTTCTCAAGGAACATTTTAAAATTAATTTTTCAATTTTATAAAATATCTAATTTATTTATTTGTGCCCTTAAATAATTATCATAAACTATGTTTCTTCATCATCCAACGACACTTTAGAATTGGGCGGCAGTAGCCTTTTCTTAGCATGTGGAACCGGAAAAGGAGGGGCAGAAACTCCCTTGTGTTATTTTCACAAGTTTCTTTCTATAATTACCACCATTCTATGCATAGAATTATATAGGTAATACTCCCCCCGTCTCATTCTAAGGTAGTCATTAGTTTCCATATCCAAATTTGATCATCCGTCTTATTTAAAAATTTTTTGAAAAAAATAAAAATATAAATCACGCATAAAATTCTATTCATGTTTTATCATCTAATATAATAATAATAATAATACTAATCATAAAAAAATTTCGAATAATACAGATGATTAAAGTTGGACACGGAAACTTATGGTTGCATTTAAAATGAGATAGAGAGAGTAGCTCCTTCCATTTCATCTTTCTAATTAGTAATTAGTTCCCTGTCACTAGCTTACTTCAGACCTTTTAGCCTTGTCATTAGGACTTCTTGTCCTCCAACTACCTAGCCATATATATGAGCCATATTCAGCATTGATGAACAAGCCCACGAACTAGACTGATATCCGCTCCCATTTTATTCGTCTTCCACTATTTTGAAGGGAATCTTCCACGACCACATTCAAAGCAGAATCCATGCTAGAAATTCTGGTTGGTACAGTAAAAGATGCAGCGATATAGGGTGATGCCACTCTCATGCATGCTCTGACGCTGGTGATTTTCCACCCGTCCTTCTTTTGTGCTTGGTCTCTGAGACTCAAAGGCTGTGTTCAGCTGCTTCCAAAATTGAAAGTTTGGGTTAAAATTGGTACGATGTGACTGAAAAGTTGTGTGTGCATGACATATTGATGTGATAGAAAAAAAAGAAAATTTGGATCCAAAGTTTGGATCTAGATATAGCCAAAGATACTAGTCCTGGCGTGCACTTGCTGGCTTGCTGCGCGAGTGGTGAGTAGTCTCCATCGCACGGGACGGGACTGACCCCGGTGCTGCAGATTAAAAGGAACCCCCCCCCCCCCCCGGGGGTCCCCGTCCCGGCTTGACGGTAGCGCGCCATCCGCCGGTGGCATGCTCGACCAGCGCCACGGAATGATGGCAAAAGACGCTTCGTCAGTCGTCGCATGGCCGTTCGATCGCACGCGCGCGCGAGCGAGGGACAAAGCTGCAAGAGCAGCGGCCGCTTTTGCTCACCTCACGGAGACATCTCGGTCTCACCGTGGAATCCTCGAGGAGAAGCGTGTCATACTGTGCAAACATTGTCCGGTTCATCCCCTCTCGCGTGCGGTGTGCCGCGGGCAAAGACAGTAGAGCGCCATGCAGAACACGATCGAGGGCTTGTCAAATTACCAGCCGAGAATTCCTCAGCGAAGCAACTTCGAGCAGGCCTTAAAAAATGAAACAAAAAAAAAGAACATCAGAAAAAGCACGCGGTTGGAACAGCCGGGGAAGAAACTACACACAGGCAACTGAGCTAAAGCAAACTTGGAGGGGAATAGCTTAGTATTTCGAAATGTATAATAGCCTCACAAAAGGATCCTCGATCTGCAAGTTACCGAGTCAAACACAAATTAAATATAGCATCGACTACAGAACAAGTTACCACGTACTCCACCGGAGTACGAATTAAACGGACAAAATGCTTGCGTTACTCTGCCCTCCAGCCTCCAGGTACTCACCCGGTCACCCCTGCTTTTCGTCCCTTTCACGATTCCACTGTTCGATCTTGGCCCTGCGCTCCTCGCTGCTCTCCCTGACTGGACTCCTCGCACGCCTTGGAGGGCTACCACCGTGCCTACGCCTTCCTCCATCATCATGCCTTTCATGTCTGCTGCTTCCACCCCTCCTTCCACCACCACCAGAGTAATCGTCACGTCCTCGATAGTCATCACGATCATGTCGCTCCCTCCTATGGCGTGGGCTTGGGCTTGGGCTGCGGCTCCTGCCTCGTTGTGGCTTTCTGTAATGGCCAAAGAGTTTTTTCCTCAGATCCCTCCCAAGTCCCAATCTGTTTGACATGCGTGAAATTGCAGTATCCACCACGGTTGCAGCTATTCTCCTCATACTGCCTGCAGGTCGCTTCACGGAAGTCGGTCACAGGAGAAAAGTCAACAATTATCGGGCGCCCAGAGTAGAAGCGGCCCTGGAGAGCAGTATGAGCTGCAGCTGCCTGATCTTCCTCCCTGAACTGGACATAAACATTGCCTATCATGTGATCCGCAAGGTTATCGCAGACGTTGAGGTTCTCAATCTCACCAAACTTGCTTAGTTCCTCAAAGATGTCCTCATAGAAATCCTCAAAATGCTCCTGCATCTGGCGGGGATCTATCGGCTGGCCTTGAGCATCAACCCCGGGCGTGATCATATCAGGGCGCTGATACATGTTCGCAAACACAACAGTTGGTGATATGGTGGGCCTGTTATGAAGACAAGAGCACCGATCCCCATGACGGCAAGCCCCAATCTTGAAGTAAAATGGGCAGTTGACCTTATCTTTCTCTGTACCAAATATTGAAGCTAAGTGCTCTGCCATGATTCAAAATCAACGAACCTGACTGAAAGCCTGCAGATAAAATGTTAAGAGGTCAATATCATAAAAAACAAGAACAGGAATGTTCCCATATACTTGAAGCTCATAATCTTTTACAGTAGCATGTGGCACATCAGCTTCAGAAAAACCATACAGACTAAGATAGTTAAGATAAAGTGCTGTGTTTGCACATCCCTGATTTAAAATAAATGGAACACTGACAGGTGATATAACTTAAACCAGTAACTTTGTAAGTGTTCTAAATCTGTCAAGACATTGACAGAGCTGTTTGGTGCATTCTGATGCAACAAAGCTTTTCAGGGCCTAGTGATCAAGCAGAAGAGACAAAATATCCATGGATGGTTATAGTCCCTGTTGTGTCATGCAAAGTACGCTTTTCTGCATCTTTTTTAGGGAAACCTGGACAATGTATTTTACTGAAATTGTAACAACACATGTTCAAGGGCAAATTACAAAATGAAAAACCAGACAACTAAGTCAAACTATGTTCATACATGTTATTTATCTCATAACACTACCAGCAGATTGGTATCCATTAACTTTACTCATTCAATTGAACATTGAGGTTATCCTCCCCAAAAAGGAGCAGCTACTAAAGCCTGCAGTGCAATATATAAAATATTTCATGTTCTTGCAAGAAAACACTAATCCGAACTGCTTTCTTATTTGTCTAGTCTGCACACTGACTCAAAATGTTAATATTAGGACATAGAAAAACATAAAAGAAAATTGCATTGAGGGTTATGACTTGAAGTTTTATCCTATGAAGAGCATTTATCTAATCCCTGTTCCCTCGGTTAACCTAAATCTGCACACTGAATTCAGAGAGTTAACATCAAAGGATAACCCCTGAAAGGCTGAACTGCATAAACAAGATATTGTTCCCCACTAAAGTGTTAGTGTCTCTGTTCCTGCAACTGTAAAACAAACAAAGCAACTTTTCGCCTTGCACAAGAACACTTCCTTCTCAGGTAGGCCTTGTTACATCCGTCCAACAAAGAATTTTATTTCAGCCATTTTAAAACCTAATCTGCACACCAGTTAAAATAATTAAAATCCAATCAAATAAAATAACCAGGAATAAATATACCACTATATAGAATGCTTTAATGTAAGAGGGAGCACTACTCCAAGATGTATAAATACATTGAACTGTTCTGTACAAGATGCAAATAAGACACATTAGATAACTTATGGCCCTGTTTATTTGTATACTCTAATATCACATCTGTTAGTATCAGAACCATAAACTTGCAGATGCAAGCATAGATATCATGCCAACCACATGACTATCTCAATATTAGCCAGTTGAACCAGTTGAAATTTGTAGTCCTACAAACTAAACCTCCCTGATCAAATGAAGAAGTTCCACGGCTGAAGGGATTAGCCATGGGACTTTGCTTTTTATTCTTAATCCCTTGTACAGTTAGAGATATGGGGATCTATGGGGAACTAATGTGGAAATCATACTGATGAAGAGCTGAGATTTTTCCATTCCATCCCAACTCCCACCCCTGGTCCTAGGTATTAAAATAGTGGGGGTTTACACCTACACTCTCCATCCCCATTCCCATCTAAACTCACATGTGCATTAAACAAACAAATTTATTAAAAATCCCGAACCCACTAGACACTCATTCGAGCTATCAGAAGGAAATGGGAGTTAACATAGAGGGTGAGAGCTATACGGAATGGGGAGTTTGAAGGGGGCAAACTCCTTTCCAATGCCTGGTTGGAAACGGGATGGAATTCCCCCTTTAGATTGAGATGTAAAATTCTGAAATCTACACAACTTAAAAAATCTAATATCTACTACATTTCCCTGAAATTATCATCTCTCGTTCTCTCCTAATTCCTAACAAACAAGAGAATGGGACTAAAATTGTAACTCCCATGACTCCCTGCTCTTAACTCACATTCCGCTTCCTGTTTTTCCCCCTCTCAAACAGGCCGGGGAGGAGGTGAATCCTGCAGGCTGCAGCTATGACCATCACATGTGATTCAGTTTTTCTTCAAGTTCCTAATAGCAACCCCCCAGGACTTCAAACGTTCAACGAGATGGAACGCGAACGAGAGTTCCGCCATCGACGTCATGCGATTACTCAAGCGCGTCATCTCCGCTACATACGTGTGACTACGTCTAAACTCTTAAAAAAACGAGCGGCAGATTTGCAAAAGGAGAGCCGAACCAAACAGAGGGTCGAGACCTTTTGTAGAGGCGGTTAGGGTTTTCCTCCGCCGGGGGGAGGCACGCACCTTGCGACGGAGGCCGTCGGCGGATGCGCTCTCCGCTTAGCGAGCAGAGCGCGAAGCTACAGCGAGCGCGCCGGCCAGGGCCCTCCTACCTACGGCAGCGCGAGGAGGGCAAGGGGAGGAGGTTCGGTGGCGAGCGCCGAGCGGAGGGGAGGAGGCAGTTGAGTATCGATCAAACCCGTGTTGCCTTTTCGGCCACTTCTCGGGCTGCGCACTCGCGGCCTCATCGCGGGCCGCGCATTTAGGAGGCCTACCTCGCGTCTCACCCGTCGGGCCGAAAAAGATGTGTGACGTCATCGGGTTGGGCCCGGATTGCCCACAAGAAGCGCTCGTAGCGCGGCCCGCCGAGGCAGAAGGCACACGACGCTGCGGCCGCCTGTACCGTAGTATGTCCAAACACAAGTTTATTTTTCTCTCATTCCACACATACAGTATAAAACCAGAAAAAACTACTACACATTTGCTTTATTAAATTTCGATATAATGATCTATCTTTTTATCTACTCTAAATACATTTATCATATATTTTCATACGAACTACGATATTATAAGTACTAAAAATGAATTTATAAATAAGTTTATCGTGGGATGGAGGGGTAGTGTTTTCCGTCTCTCTCTCCCCATACCTTACCTAACACGTAGTACAACTGTACAAAAGTGCACATACTCCCTCCATCCTAAAATAATACTAGAATATGCTACATCCATCTAAAATCCATTATATTTTAGAATGGATAGAGTACAACAACGCTACTGCACAGCTAGACATGAAGGTCCAATCAACATATATGCATGAGTTCCACAGCTTTGAACGGATTCGAATCTTCCAAACCGAAAAACACTGGCCCCACATAAACATAAGAGTATATTTGTTCTTATCACCATTGTTGGCTAATTAAGATATTTTCCCCACACAAAAGCTCTGTGAAACAGCATGATCTTATTGAAGCGTGATGTTGTCTGAATCTCCCTCCTCGTCCCCACCGAATTCACGAGTGAAAGTAACATACCTTCTGGAAGCGCACTGTCGGCATTGCTGCATTTGATATGAAAAAAACCTAAACAATAGTACAATTAGCTGTGTTAAGGTATCTATGTTTTTCACTAAATATCCTCGTGTGAAGAACAAGCCACATCAGAAAGTTCTAAATGATGCGTCAATCTCATGAATCGTGACCATGCCAGATGCTAGCTCCGGCCACTCCTGATCGAGCCCTGACCTGCTCAATATCTCATTGTTCCTTTTCAAAGGACCAGCCAAAGCATTGCTCATTCTCTTGACTTCAACTCCACTCTTCCATTTAGGTTAATTAGGACGATGATGTAACCAGCTTGGTGAACCTCCAAGTACAATAGCACTTGTACTTTATGTGACGGCAGCTAGGTATACTTGAATCCATACTATCTCACTGTCCTACCTACATTTGCCTATTGATGCTTACTTCATGGTGATGGTTTGGAGATGCAGCAAACAGTCCATCTGCACAACTAATGGCAGAAGAATTAGCTGACGATCGAGTTGGTCTAAATGATTACACGCGCCTAGCAAAACAAGTCAATCGCGTGGTTGGTGAAACGTCGTAGACTCATAGGTCGTACTAGAGAGGATGAAAAACTGAGACATATATCGCTGGGGGTAGATCTGTGGATCCTCCTGAGCTCAAAGCAGCAATATAATATTCTCTCTCGTGGCAAGTTGTGATTAGGCTAAAATCCAATTTGATTTCCCTTGTTCAATGACATTTCTAAGATATTTGTTCGTCTATGACATGGATTCCTCTAGGCTCTAGTTCAATGCCAAAAGAGGACTCGTATGTAAGTAGTACGTCGAAGAAACGAATTAGCAACTTGCCCTGAGTGCTTTGATCAAAGTTTTTACAACGTTGAAGCTGAAAACGGGCAAAGGACAACTGGCCAAGTCCTTTTTGTTTTTTAAACCCACAACTGGCCAAGTCCTAATTGGTGGCAAATGGGTGCATAAGACTTTGAGCATAGAGTAGAGTCTTGGCAAAGCATTAGAATTTGTGACCTGACAGCTGCAAGCTATGTTTTGTCAAACATGCTGACACCCAGCGTGATCTCTGAGGTGTCAGCTTAACGTCAGAGTGCCGGTGAGCTCATCAACGGGGTGTGTAACTTATGTTTTCATCATCCGTAATCCACATCAACCAGTCCATTGTTTTGGACAGTATGCACTATGCACCTAAAATTATATGTCATGATGTTTAATTTGCAGGCTGTGATGGTGATTCTGTAGTAGGAAAAGATATACGCATCTTTAAGATTTATGACAGTTCAGACGGGATTTCATCTGAATTCAGAACTCCTTTTCGTTGTTCTCTCAAGTCAAAAATTCAGAAGCCCTAAACTAGTGCTTAGACAACGATAACGTACTAGACTGAAAGTAGTCGTCCATATGTTTTAGCTTCTAGAGAGCGTAGAGAAGAATGATAATCCTCTTGAGCCTTGTACATCTGTAACTTCCGTTTCTTGGATGCCCCCTGCTAATGGTTCAGTTACGAAAAGTCCTTGTAGAAACTGGCAACAACTTGCAGTCATTTCTCCCCTTTTCTGTTCTTAATGAATACTATACTAGTAACGTTGGATTCCAGGTAGGGTCTAAACCTATCATGAGATCATCTCGGTCTATACAAGTGACGACTTATGACTTGTGAGGGAGATTCATGATATTGTATTGTTACACGAGTAGACGTACTCGGTTAGGAAAAATCTTGTGTTGTATTGTATTGTTACACGAGTAGACGTACTCAGTTAGGAAAATATTGTCCATGATCAGGACGCTCTGTCACTTCAAATGCATGGTTAATTACTTAATTACCTCACCTAGGCCTAAGTACAGTATCATCCGGGTCAGCTAAAGAACAGCCTGACAGTGGTGAGTGCTGACCATACACGTTCTTGTCATCCCTCTCCTCTCTAGCACACGTCCTGACAGGCAGGCACCATCAGAAAATGGCCTTTATCGATATCCACTGAACGCGTGTCTCACATTCACGAGGTTTTAGCTATAGCCCCACATCTCCAGGTACCAACGAACCAATGGTTCTGCTTCGTCCAAAACGGTGGAGTAATGTACGATCAGTCCCGCCGTATCAAGCGATCGAGGACGGAAATTGCAAAATGCGCCGTGGAAGCATGTTCGCCACGATCTGATTTGTTACATGTGCAGGGTACGTACAGTCACATCCTCACAGGATTGGGTGCTTGGGTGGGTGAAGAAGGAGCACACGCCCCTTGGGAAGCAGAGAGGACGACAGAAAAAAGGGGGCAAGCCAACAGGTAATCAGAAGTTCAGAAGATGCTACTCTACCCAAATCGCCTGATCCCATTTATAAACAAACAGCACACGATCGAGCCGATGCGAAGAACCAAGCCCACGATGCATGTCGGCCAGAGCTAAAAAACGACCCTCCTCGGCCGGCGACCTCACCGGGGCGCTGCCTGCCCCGATCGCGCCAAACTTGTTCTAGGTCTCGTATTTTTTTAAGCGGCGGCGGCTGCGGGGCTGCGTCCGCTCTGCCCAGCGGCGTACCGACAGCCTCGTCACGGCCCTGTGTGCCCCGCGTGCGTGCGCTCGCGCGCGCGGGCGTCGTCGTTGATGCATGGGCATGGGTTGATTGATTGATTGATTCCGTCGCCAACGTGAACGTGCGCCCATGATTGGGTTGGGTTGGGTTGGGTCGGGGTCGCTTGGACGTACGCGCATGTTACTGCCGGGACACGTTGCATCGTCCGCCGCGCGTCATGGGGGAGGCGGGATCGCATGATTGCATCACCTGCGTAACGCTCGCTGGATGGCAAACTGGAAGGAAGCTTCCTACGGCTAGAGAGATAGTACTAGCTTGTCGCGTTCGCGTGCGCCTCGCGAGGTAAACAAAAATGGCGCCGACCGGCCACGCGCGAGTAACGTACCACGGGTGCCGCCACGGTTAGTTGCGGTCGGGCCATGCATCCGCGCGGCCTCGACTGATGTGGCTGGCCGGTGCACATGGGCTAATTGCCATCTAGTACTACTATCCTCTCGGGCAGAGTTGCATTGCATGCGTGTAAAAGTTATCTGGCGGCAATCCGCGGACGGAGGCGCATCGTGCGCCTGCTGCCTGCGCCCACCGCGACAGCCGATCCCTCTTTTGTCGCTTCCGATCCTTTCACCTGGTCACTTGGTCAGTTGGTTATTCTCAAAATCAAAAAAAAAAAAAAGGATCTGTTTGTCACCCCTATCGAATGGGTAGGTTTCTGCCCAACCTATATCTTCACAAGTGGGAGAGGGGAAACGCGTTCCATTGAACATTTGGATACGTGACCACGTCTGACGCTCACGAGAGCCGGCGGCTGTCAAACTGAAATAGTTTTCAGAATTTCCAAACGATGTTCAGCCAGTTCAGGTGAACTAGTTAGAAGATCAGTCAAATTCCTTACCTTCATTTTTCATCTTTGGTGAACAGCTCACCTGAATTAACCCGATACACTGAAAACAGCTAGTAAATACTATCCGACACACCGAAAATTAAACCGCCATGGATATCTGAACAACGCCAAAAGTCTGACTAGAGAGAACTCTCCCCTCCATGATTGATTGTCCGAGGAATGAACCGGTTGCTGCAGACTCTGTGTACTGTCTTCGTACTCCGTGATAGGAAGTTTTTTTTTCTTTGGCTTTAAACTTTCAATTTTTTCATCATATCAAAATTTTCCTGCACACAAACTTTAATTTTTTCATCACATCATTTCAATTTCAACTAAACTTTTAATTTTAGCGTGAACCGAACACACCCTTTTATCTTTTTGCTCCGGTCTCGTGCAGATCCCGTCGCTGCCGAAGCAATTAGTTGGGGTCAATTGGTCCGTAAATACCTTGTACGTGGAGGGCTTCCGCCAATCAGCCACGCCTGGACCACACGAGCCGCGCAATGATCTCACAAGGAGAAGTTGGATTTCTCTTCTCGCTGATCTGTTCGACCGAAAATTTCCCTGCGCTAGCTCATCACTGCTTACGTACATCTTTGTCCCATGCAACACGTACGGGCACAAATTAACAAACACAGCCTTCCCTCTCACAACAGTTTCTCCAAAGCAAATCTACTCCTGATCGTTAACAGTTGATTAACTTGTTGTTATATGCGATTGAATTAGCTGTGAAAATATAGATCTCGAGCCAAACTACACTTTTAAGGCTGATTTTTTTTGGGTGGATAGAAAATCTGCCGTATGCATGATGTCATCTGAATGCATGCTGTAGCTAGCATGCATCGAGGTAAACCTTCTCACCAAACCACAATGCCGTATACGGAGGGTAATTAATCGTTTTAACTTGAGTAAAGAGGGGAAAGAAGATAGAGGCTCAAAGCCACAGGAAATGGGGGCAAAATGAACGTCTCATTCTCATTAATTAATTCAGAAATGCAAAACTGTACAGATGTGGCAAATGTCACTGTCCCTCTTCCTCTCTCGCTCCGTATTCACATGGTGGGGAGTAAAATACTCATCATCACGTACGCACGCACGAAGATATATTTTGCTAAATGAATTACTACTATTAACTAGCAACATTAGCTTTAGCTCTCTCTGGTTCTTTTTCTCAAAGCTTAGCACACCCTACGGAAAAGGAGGAGGAAAAATATCCTAGAGGAAATCCGCCGCGATGTAAAACCGAATCCAACGGCCAGGATTGAACCACGATGGCACGATGTTGTGAAGAAAGGAAGAAAAAAATTGGAAGGAGAGAAGGAAGATGATGGTGATTTAAAGCCAGAGGGCACCGGCCTTCTTGAGGATGGGCACGAGCTCGCCGGAGATGTGGACGGCCATGAGGCGGTCGAGCCCGCCGAGGAGCTTCCCCCCGACGAACACGGCGGGGAGCGCCGCGGCCTCCCCACCGGCCGGCACAACCCCCTTGAGCGCGGCCTCGCCGGCGACCTCGTGCACGGCCGGGTTGACCCCGAGCCCCTGCAGCAGCCGCTTCACCACGTGGATGAGGCAGCACCCGCGCCTCCCCACCACCAGCACCGGGCTCTCCGCCACCGCCCTCCGCACCTCCGCCGCCTCCTCCTCCCCCACGACCTCCGCCTCACCGCCCCGACCCGCGACGGCCGTCGTCGTCTCCACCTTCACGACGTCGACCACGCTCGCCGCCGGCTCCGGCCTGAGCCACGGCCGGGTGCTGCTGTACGGGATCGCCTGGTACATTGCTCCCCCGGCCTGATCGTCTCTCGCGGCGGCGCCACGCGCGCAGCGCACCCACCCTAGCTTCGCCGATCGACGACGTCGTCTCGCTGGCCGTTTGTGAACGCGTGTAACAATGGAAGGAGGGAGTACGTCTTGGCGTGATGGCTCGGGGAGACGAGAGGTGGAGGGTGGATATATACACACACGGAAGAAGCAGGGGGGGTCGGAGCCCCGGAGGTGAGGTGGGCGGGTGACGTCACCGTGGGGGCCCGCGGAGTAGTATGGTGGGGCCCGCGCGACGCCGGGGGGGGGGGGGGGTGGTGGGGTAGCTTTCGCTTGGACTGCGCACGAGTCGCGGGCGGGGGGTGATGGGCTGATGGCGTGGAGGGGCGTCAGCCGCGGCCGGGGACACCGGATCCGTGACGACAGCTGCCGCGACGCGGACGCGAGAGCGTTGCGTTGGGGGGGAGGTGGATGGATGGAATGGATCGGTCCGGTGATGATGGGCTGCGGGGCCGCGACCAGCGGACACGGTCGACCGCTGACTCTCGCAGCAGCGGGATTATTGATCAGATCGTTTGTCTTGGAATGTCTCGGTGCATGTGTTTGGTTTTTTTCGTCGTCGTCGGCGGCTGTACGTATGATGTGCTATCTGTACTCGCTCCGTCGGAAATTTAATCGAAGACTTTTTGTTGAGAAATAAGAAGTGCGTGGCTGTACAGATCTTGCTTGCAAACTTAATACTAGTACACGTTTTAAACTGCAACGGTGTGATCATGTACTTTCGTGCCCTTGTAAGAAAATCAGGGAAGGCACAATCGGATGACGATGACAAGGGGGACCCGCCAGGTGTGGTGTCGTCTCCAGCAAAGTGTCGGCATAGATAAGCCATGGAGTTAGGGATGGGGTTTGGCTGATAGGTACATTCGGGTTATCATCCAACATTGGTAGGGAAGACCTGCAGGGAGCAGTATAACAATATTTGATTGAAGTGATTTATACAGGGAAAAAAAAACGTTTCAAGTACTGTGAGGCGTAATAGAACACGCCAAATAATAGCTCCGGCCAGGCGGCCGTAGACGGCGTCGCGCCATCGGCGACGCAGACATGCGCTCAGTGACGTAATGCAACACGTCACTCGATCGTCTGGACTTGGACAGTTGGTGGACTACTCGCTCCTGCATAATATATTACGGAGTACTAAGCTCCCGTTTTCTAAATTATTACTCACCCCGTTTTAGGTTGTAAGACGTTCTGACTTTAATTAAAGTCAAACTGTTTTAAGTTCGACTGATTTTGTAGAAAAAAAGTAATATTTATAACACATGCATAGTTTCATTAAACCTATAATTGAATAAATTTTTATAATATATTGTCTTATAACCGGAAACAGGAAACAGAGGGGTATTAGCTAGCTTAGCTTTGTTACTACTCTCTCTTATATATGGTATTTGTACTCCTTTTGTACTCTTGTTTGTTCTTCCATGACTCCACGAGAGACGTTTAATTGGTCTTTCATTCATACTTCCCGTCTCATAAACTAATGTCGAGCTGTGGGTCTAATCGATGGCTGAGTACATCCAGGAAGAGATGGTCAGATTATGTGTGTATATCCGCATGCATAATGTATTGCCGCCAATCCCATCAGTAGGTATATAATATATACTCCCTCCGTTTTTTAATGGATGACGTCGTTGACTTTTTCTCACATGTTTAACTATTCGTCTTATTCAAAAAAAATTACGTAATTATAATTTATTTTGTTATGAGTTGTTATATCACTCATAATGCTTTAAGTGTGATTTATATCTTATACATTTGCATAAAATTTTTAAATAAGACAAATGGTTAAACATGTGAGAAAAAGTCAACGGCGTCATCTATTAAAAAACAGAGGTAGTACTACTGTTTGTCCGCTATACCGCTCTTGCGTGGCGGTAAGCAGCATGTGGATCACGAATGACGATGTGTTGCTTTTCTTGGCCCCGTCATTTTGGTTTGGAGAAAACAATACGCATCAGGAGAAGCTTTAAAAATGTCAAGAACTAAGAGAAAGGTCTAAATTCTGCTAGATCGCCATTTGGGCCTAGCTTAGCTGCGAACTCTTTCGTGCAGTGCGGTGGCGTATAGGAGGTGACAGTAGATTTTTTGGCACTACTGACTACTGAGGCATTTTCTAAAGCAATCGGGAAAAAAATCGGTCGAGATGCAGCATGCATGTTGATGTTGCCGTCACAAGCAGTGGTCTAAAGCAGTACCATACCTTGTTAGTTAAGGTGCACTTTAATTACGGCACGGTTAATTGGCATATAAAGCAAAGTGTGTTCCTCTAATCTCTTTGCACATAGCTTACACGGTTGTGATGAAGACAGAGCAACATGCTCTCTTTGTCCCATTACAAATATAGTTATGGATTTCCGTATCACCATCCGTCTTATTTTAATTTTTTATTAGTATTTTTATTATTACTTGACTTACTTTTTTTTCTAAAATTTTTAAATAAAACAGACAGTCAAATGATAATAAAGTTGATCCATCATTGTGTTTAAAATGGGACGGAGGAACTACAGTACACAAAGATAGTAATAGGCTCCAAAATAAAAGGCAGAGCTATGCCCTTTCGTCACAGTGCCAGTGGCGCCTGCAGCTGCATACGAGAACATGCATGCACGTACTCACTCCGTCCAAAAAAAAGTCAAACCCTGGGTTTTCGTGTCCAACTTTGACTGTCCGTCTTATATAAAATTTTTTTATAATTCGTATTTTCATTGTTGTTAGATGATAAAACATGATTAATATTTTATGCGTGACTTATCTTTTTAAATTTTTCATAAATTTTTCAAATAAGATGGACGGTCAAACGTTGGACACAGAAATCAGGGTTTATCTTTTTTTTTTGACGAAGGGAGTACGTCAGTAACTTCACCTTCCGTTGGCTGATCGATATCCGCATGACAAAGACAGATCAACCAGAACAAAACTTCCTCCGTCCCTAGATATTAACCGCTGTTAACTTTTTTAAACATATTTAACCGTTCGTCTTATTCAAAAACTTTTATAAAATATGTATAACTATATATATTCATACAAGTATATTTAACGATGAATTAAGTGATAAGAAAATAATTAATAATTACTTAAATTCACTATTAGAAAAAGTATTTTTGCAAACGGCCAAAATTGATTTTTTCAGGTGGAGGGGAGGACCGCCTGCAGCCCAATAACTGCGAAAATCAGCAGTCGGGGCAATGGCCCACCTGCGAAAATGCGTTGAAAAAGAAAAAAAAATCGCGGGCGCTGCCGCCGCCCTCCCCCGGCTGGAGCCGCACCGGGCGTCGTCGTCGTCGCCGCTACCGCCGGAGGGGAGCCGCCGCCCCGCCCGCGCCGTCGGTGGCGCCGCCGGTAGAGGAAGGAAGGGGAGGGGAGGGGGACGGCGCCCAGACGCGTGTTGAGGGGAGGGGAAAGTGTTTGAGGGAGAGAGAGAGCTGAGTGAGGGAAATGAGTGGTGGGGAGGGGTGGAGGAGAAGATAAGACTTAGAAATTTTGGGGTAGGTACCATTTTTGCAGGCGCGGTTTGAGTGGTCCGCCTGCGAAAATGATTTTCGCAGGCGTCGTTCAAGTGGTCCGCCATCAAACTTCACCCCGATTTATATTTTTGTATGCGGTCATTTGGTTTCAAGGGTTATGTCTGCATGCGAAAATCAGATCCCTACGTTGAGAAAAATGTATTTTCTAGTAGTGATTGTTTTAATAAGATGAATGGTCAAACATATTTAAAAAAATCAACGGCATCAAATATTTACGGACGGATGGACTACTACTACTCCATATTACTGACTTACTGTGCGACTGTGTGATACGGGCACATTTGTCCTTTTTCTATAGAGAAATAAAACAAGCTAATACTATCGCCTCCTGCGCAATAGTGCCGTCTAATTATACACTTATATTTACACATGAAGCTGTACAAAAATCACATCAACGTGTTTTAGGCTGGTGAGATCAACCGATCGAAGGCCAAACCATAACCACTAAACCAGCTGTTAGAGTTAAGTATAGGTAACAGTATTAACTGCAAGTCCTTAGCGTTCATACACCCCCTAGCTTGTCCATGTATGTACCCGTTGACCTCGAGATAGATCTCAAACTCCACATATTATCCACGGGATCGATCGAGTTGAACTCGGCATTTGTTTACGCGATACAGAAAGTCCACTTCTCTTTCGGGTCGTATGTGAGCCGCGCGTAACTTGCCGCGAGCGCGCGCGGTCAACGCGCCACTTGCGCGCGGGCGCAGTCGGCAAGTACCCCGACCAAGTCCCGCGTCGGTTCACGTTTTTTTTAGCCTCATGCGCAATCGCATAGTATATCCATCGTCGAAACGCGCGCGAGACGCGGACGCGCAACTGCGCACCGCAGGGGGCGGGCTCCGCGAGCGCGCGCGCGCGCGAGGCAATCGCGCGACAGGAGAACGTACACCAAGCGGCGGCAACCCCACCGGCCGCCCGAATTTTTTTTATTTATACATTTTTTTATTAAAATATTTAAAAAATATTTTTTTGTTTCGAAAATTTACAAATCTAATCGCGTGCCGCTCTCTAGAAGTGCGATTTGCGATTTTTAAAAATCGCTCTCCCAAAGAGCGGTAAGGGACCTAAATGCAAAATTTTTATTTGTGTTCAAACCCTTTCCACCAGTTTTAATTGCTTAAAAACTAATAATGCTTATTCGATACTCCAAATGATTTTAAATGGAAAAGTGAAAAACTACAAAGTTATAGATCTCATCAAGATCTACAACTTTTATATAAAGTTTATCTCCATACAATATCGTTTGAAATATAGATCTGAGATTTTTTTAAATGTGTTTTATATTTTGTAACGAATATTTGGATATCTAAAACATATTAAATGAAAAAGTTGTTAACTACAAAGTTGTAGATCTCCTTGAGCTCTATAATTTTGATATAAAGTTTTATTTCATCTAACTTTATATAATATAATTTTAAATTGTAAAATCATATAGCTAACAAGTTATGCTGGAAAATTTGCATTTAGGTCCTTTGCCAAAATCGCCCTCCCAAAGAGCGGCAGGCGATTAGTTTAGTAGATTTTCGAAACAAAAATTTTATTTTTTAAATATTTTAATAAAAAATGTATAAATAAAAAAATTCCCGGCCGCCCCCGCGCGCGGCGTGGATGGCGCTCTCGTGTTGGGCCCCGCCATACGCCCATGCGGCCCACGCGTGTGTTGCTGGGCTCGCGCGCCTTGTTCGTGAGGACGCGGGGGCGCGCGCGGGAGCCGTTAGTCTCCATCGCGCTGACGTCAGCCGTGGCTGTCGCTGATCCCGGGGGGTGATCCGGGCTGACGTGTATCGGATATGCACGCCCCCACCCACGTCGCTGCTTATCCACTCGCTTAGTTGGTGTCGTAAAGCTTTCGGTTGTCGTGGACTACGTGTTAGCACGGTGCGGCAGCACCCTGTTCATGTGTAATCATGCCTTCATGTTGTCCATGGGATTATTGTTCGCAGAGAAGAAAGATGTCTTGCACCGCTAGTTAAGTCACGGCTTATCTGATTATGCACCGTACTACTCTCTCGTATCAAAATAAATAAAACTAACATTTCATACATAACACGTTATAATTCTAGAACTCTGAACAATCACATCTCTTACTAAGTTTGCTTATTTTATGATAGAGTGAGTATGTGATTGAAAAAAGAAGTGTTAGCTTTTTTAACTAATGAAACTAGAAAATATGTTAGCTAGAGATTAGGGAGTTCAGAATTGTAGAATATGATCATACTAACTTGATAAGTATGGCAGAAATCCGAAACAACATGTTGGCCATTTGATAATGTTGCATATGGGAAAAGATGTCACGTCGTGGGTTCCTTCAGTACGGGGAGACCATATATCCAATTGTCACCATTCTCTGTTTGTGAGAAATACTCCCTCCGTAAAGAAAAAAAAAAGGCAACATAGAACGGGAAGGTTGCCTTTTTTTTTATGGAGAGATGATACAATGAAACCACTAAATAAATTAAAACTCGTGAAAACCATATCTAAAATTTTAAACGTCTAAATTCATGATTTTTTTACTAGAGACAGGTACATACATGAAATACATTTATCAAAATCTCAAATTTAGACTCAATTTTATTTGAGAGAAAACTATTTACTTGAAATTTATTATTTTACTCTCAAATAAAGTTGATTTTGAAGTTGATATTCGGTGAGAGTGTACTACATATATCTCTAGTATTTTTTTCTATAAATTTATAAACTTTATTATGTTTTTACAGGATATATCACAAATGGTCTGATCCATTCTCTCTGTTGAACTCTGAACCTTTGGGCCGCCAGGTAAAATCTCCTCTACATCACTATGACCTTTGCGCCGATGACCTTTTGTATAATTGTACATAGAGACAGAAAAATATTTTAAACTATCGAAGGGACGATCCCTCATTGTTTGGTTGTCACTTAAATGGTTACAAAAAAATTAAGAAGATGTATTAATATGTGATATATCACTCCATAAACATGCAAGTTCAAAATTAACTTCTACATATCACCGTAAAAAAAATAAATTAAACTACAATTAGTTGACGTATATTCACAGTTATTTTTTCGTTACGATATGTAGAAGTTGATTTTTAATTTACATGTCTGTGGAGTAATACATCACATCTTAGTAAATCTTCTCCTTATTTAAATGACACGTAAATAACACGATAATGTCTCTCGAGAGTTTAAAATCGAGTCTCTACGGAGACGGCAAGCGTCTCACTCAGAATGCACAGAGGCCGTGAGCCACCATTGTACAACGGAAAGCAGGGAGCATAATAATTTGCTCCAAAGTGTGATTAACCTAATATAATCAGCCTTGAGTCATAGGTTTGGAGCACGTGTAAGCTCTTATCTTTGTTTGGCTGACCCTCTCCACTAATTTCCTTGTTGTTGACATTGTACTTATCGATCGGTTGGAAACCAATCATACACTTGATCGTCACTCGTGATGGTGCAGGTCAGCTTCGCGGCGAAGTTTTATATGGTTAAGCTACCTGCATGCATGAAGCTCACCCTGTAAAAACAGTCGGGGGCTCCTAACTAGCGCGGGCGCGCAGTTAGCGAGCACCTCCCCCTTAAGATTTTAACTACAACTATTAATCTATTAATTAACACTTAACACTAATGATAGTAATTAGAAAAGATTCTGAAGATTTTTTTACTAACAGATTGAAAAATTTTTAAGCTATATTTGAACAATTTTGATTTAAGTTTCAAATTTTAAAGTCAAAATTTGAAAACTTTCAACTCAGAGTCGAAAAATTTCAACTCGAGAATCGAGATTCGAAAACTTTCAACTCCGGATTTGAAAATTTTAAAAACTTTTAACTTGAGATTTGAAAATTTTCAACTCGAGATTTGAAAACTTTCAACTCAAGATTCGAAAACTTAAGTCCGGATCTGGAAATTTTGAAAACTTTCAACTTGAGATTTGAAAATTTTCAACTCGAGATTCGAAAACTTTCAAGTCCAGATTTGAAAATTTTTAAAACTTTCAACTTAGATTCGAAAATTTTCAACTCAAGATTTGAAAATTTCAAGTCCAGATTTGAAAATTTTCAAGTCAATATTTAAAATCTTTCAACTCAAAACATTTGAAAAAACACGTGTGCTAAACATTAAAAAAAGTAAATATGAAAAAAACGTAAAAAAAGCGAAAAGAAAAAACGCCGAAAAGAAAACGAGAAAACCGGCGCTAAAGATTAGTTAGCAGAAAAAAAAAATCTCGCGCGCGCTTGGGCCGTGTTGACCGACGCTCCCGAAACGAACCAAAAAAGAACTGTTTGCTGCCGGATGAAGTCTAGTTTTAATTCCAACCCGCGGAATTGAGTACCTGATCCGTTCATCACCTTCCTGGCCATGAAAATGCTACAAGCCCACAACTAGGCCCAACTCCTCCGCAATTGCTAATGGATTAAGTTCACTATAGGTCCCTCAACTTGTCACTGAGTAAAATTCATCTACGAACAGCAGTACATACATGATTCATCGATCAACTCCCAAAACCAGCGTAAATAAAATCCCAATACCGTTTTGGAAGATGATTTCGACTGACGTGACTCCTACGTAGTATAGACATGGCACTTAAAGTCAGAAAAAACCATGAGACCACATCATCACCCCTTCTCTTTCCTCTCTTCTCTCTTCCTCCTCGTCGTCGGAGCACCCCCTTTTCTATCCCTCTACTTTCCCTCTACTGGCTACGATAGCAAGGAGGAGCGGAGGTAGCCAAGCGCAAGGAGGCAGGAGAGGAGGAGGTCGCACGGAGCTAGGCACGGTGGGAGCTCGACCACCGCTGGTGGAGGAGGAGTGGTGGAAGTGGAGGAGTGGTCATGCCGAGCTCGACCGACGCTTGTTGAAGCTCAGCGGTGGCGAAGCGGCACACTAATTGGAGTTGAGCAGAGCTACGCGGGAGTGAAGGAATATAATAAAAAAAATAACCTTAGACTGAACTTCTCAAATCAATTAATAGATGTAGCTCAACATCTTTTCTAATACAATAAATTGATATTTCTATTTTTTATCAATTAGTAACATTATAGCTAGTTGTACGGTTTATTTTCTTAGAGAAAAAGAATTATATTTATCTATAACTGCAATTATAAATACTATGGCACATAGTATTAATCTAATTATCTAGAATAGAAAAGTCTAAAGCTAAACAACTGTATATGAGAAATACTTCATTTCCGATCCCGAGAAAAAAAGTTTCGAATTCATTCCTGACGGATAGTATGATTATCATGTTCGTTTCTGTTTCAAAAAAAAAAATTCCGAATTCGTTTCCGTTTCGGAAAGTTTCCGGATAAATTCCAATGGACACTTTCCGTTTACGAACCGTTTTCATCCATATAATTCGTGCCATTTAACTATTTATCACTTTAAAGATGTGACATTTAATTATTTGCTACCTATAATCTATAACATGTGGTCACTATGCGTCTATAATATACAATGGCGGATGCAACGTGGGAGCAGAGGGGTTTTAAGCCCCCTACTACTAGTGGTGGAACCATGTAAGCCCCCACATAGCCCCCACAAAAAAATTCTTGCCACACCTGCATTGAAAGGGGGGCTTGGAGCTCTATTTCAGTGTCCGGAGGTTGAAGAAGGGGATTTTCGCGATTTGGGCCGGCTACAAGGAACAGCCCACATGGCACAACCACGAATTTTGGCCCACATCGAGGCCTAGGAAACTCGAAACATCGAGAGACCGAAATTTGGCCCACACCCAGGCTCAGCAACACAATTACTCAGATCCACCGGGACCACCACCGTCCACCGAGCTCCATCAGCCATTCAGCCGTCCTCTCTCTCTCTCTCTCTCTCTCTCTCTCTCTCTCTCCCCTGTCCTCCCCGATTCCCAATCTCGCTCTCAAGTCGCAGCAGCACTCAGCATCGCGGCGGCCGGGGCCCGGGGCAACGGCGACGAGGCGGCGCGCCGGCAGCGCGGGCGCATCGGCTCCAAGCAGATACTCAAATATTCCCTGTTAACTAGAGTATCTTCCCCTTCCCTTGGCGTAAAAGAAAAAAAATCTCCCGTCTCGTCTCCTCCGCTCCTTGCGCCATCTCGCTGCTGAACAGGGGAGGGGCGCCGATCTCCATCCGGCGAGCAGAGCAGGGGAGGGGGAGGGGAGGGGATCCTGGTGAGCATCCACATCCTCTTTCTGATTCATCTCTCTCCCACCGGGACTACCTTTGTCTGGAATTTGGTTGCGTTCGTTAACCCTAGCTTCTCTTCTCGATGTGGAAGAAGCTCTTCTCTTAATTTCAGAGCCTTAACCTCAATACAAGTAACAGTTTGTTTGTTCCCCAAAAGTTTTGGGGTTCAACTGAACCCACATGTCCCAAGTTGGACCCGCCCCTGATATTTGTCCATGACAGTAACTACTATATATATACAGGCTCCTGCTTTAATATGAGGATTTGCTTGTTTCTCCTTCTTAACCCTTGTAGCTCATGTGTTTTAATACAAAACGATTTTAAATTCTTATAGTTTGATTTTTAAGAATAATTTTAGTTAGATCTTTTACTAGTATTGTTAGCAATCATGAGATAGCTAGGCAATAAAATTGACAAGGAAAACACCTAAAATTAATCCTACAATCAAATTGTAAAATTCAAATTCAGCTTCTGATTGTAATCCTTTTCTCTAAGTCCTTGATATGAACTGCAGCTTGTTAGTATCAATTTTAGAGCTTATTACTTGATAATATTACCAGAACAATAAATTATTTCGTGTGGTCTGTTTTCAAAGTTGATTTGATGCTTGAGTTGTTTTTCTTCCTTATTTAATACATAATATTTGATCCCACATGTGTATGCCAGAGCCTTGACATGGCAGAGAAATTGGGACCTGAGAAGCGGCACGCCTTCGTCCACAACGGTGAGCCTCCACACACCTCCAGTACTCTGCAACCTTGTAGAAAATTCAGGAGCCCCCTGACCATCCCATCCTCTGTCATGGGTTGGGTGTGATTCGCAGGGCAGAAGGTCTTTGAGTGGGACCAAACACTGGAGGAAGTGAACATGTACATTGAGCTCCCCAAGGGTGTGCCCACCAAGCTCTTTCACTGCGCCATCCAGGCCACTCATGTTGAGGTCGGCATCCGCGGCAATCCACCCTACCTCAACGTATGTGCTTCTCCCCTTAACCTTTTACAATTAAAGCTAATTCTCTGCTAAGATATTGTTTCTCCTTGTATGCTGTCATGAATTTGGAAGATCTGATTTGTGCCCCCTCTTTTTTGCAGCATGACCTGACACTCCCAGTGAAGACTGATTCATCATTCTGGACAATAGGTTAGGATTTGTGGTACTATTTGTGCATTCTTAAAATTGTTGTTTGCAGTTTTATATCTGCGGAAGCTATTTCCTCTATGAATTGTCAATCCAGTTTAGTGAACAGTTTGATGAATGGACTCCTAGTTCTGGTAATAAAAAAAAATGTCTCTGAGGTTGCTTTGCAGACAACTATTCAGAATTTGTTACTGTCGACTGGTTTTAATTTGTCTGAGTTAATGCAGACCCAGCGAGTGGAAGTAGTTTATTTGGCAACTCTTTTGTAGTTTTCTAGTGGCTTAATTGACTTCGTTCATAGAAAATATCTGAATATGGAAAGACATGCTTGATTTTGTTAAGTCACAATGTTGTGGTGACCAACTGACCATAGATGGCCATAATTGGTATATTGATGATGAATTGATAATATGAGATCAATTGACCTAACAATGCTGCATAAGGATATGATAGCGAGTCAGGAGTCACACATACGAGGTTTAGTGCTAGGGTGTTATTTTTAATCTGTCATTGAAGTCATTAGCATCTTCTGCTGCTCTATGAATCTGGACAATGGTTATATCACAATACAGAGGATGGTGAAATGCACATCACACTGCAAAAAAGAGAGAAGGGGAAAACATGGTCATCTCCAATACAAGGCCAAGGTAGCTTAGATCCATATGCTGCAGACCAAGAACAAAAACGGCTTATGCTGCAAAGGTTTCAAGAAGAGGTATAATGAATTACTTGCTCCTTTTTCTTTCCTAAACCACACTTGCTTTGGTTTTAGTATGTTTGAGTAGTTATGCTCAATTGTGCACGCCTACCTACGATAGGCAAGCAGTACATTGTTGTCATGCTAATGCCTCAAGTCAAATTGTAGAATTTATTGAATGGACTTTTTTGACAAGTTCTAGTTAATTATTAAAATTGCATCAATTGCATCCTATGCAAGTCCTTATTAGCGTGCCACTTGCAAGATGATTATGCTGCTGATGTGGGGGTAGTGTATCGGCCCAAAAACGAGAGCAAACATCTGACATATTTTCTTACCTTGTTTACACAAAGTTGTGCTAATACCTTCTATAAGATCCTTCAGAAACTGGTTGTGTCATGTATTTGATCTAGCACTATTGTACTGTTCTGGTGGAAATGCACTCCAGCCACTGTCCCTTATTGTTTGAGTTCTTATTTGCTTGTCTCTATGATGTGTAGAATCCAGGATTCGACTTCTCCCAGGCTCAGTTCACCGGAACCTGCCCTGACCCAAGAACCTTCATGGGTGGAATTCGCTCTGACTGAAGCTTGGCCCAACGTCATGTATCTGGCTAAATGATGTTGCTAACCTCACAGTGGCTTGTCAAATAATCAAATGTGGTGGCTGTACATATCTCGCATCTGTAAATTGTGAAATTCGCCGGTTTCCTATGGCTGCCTTTGTGCCTTAGAAATAATGGTGAATGTTTGGCCTATCAATCGCCGAGCCAGACGTAGGATTCTGAAGTTATTTATTCACTTATTGATCTAGCATCCTTGATGATGTAGTAAGTTTGTGATCACCAGGTACTTGTGACTGTTCGAATGAAAATATACCATCTACCCATGCCGGGTCATTTCAAAATTCATGTATGCGATGGAGGTGCAATTTTCTCTCTCCTCTTTCCTTGGCGCAATGAAAACGCTTTTATTTCTACGCGCCAACAAATCATGAAGCAACAAGCACTTGAAGCATGCACGCATATCCTGCAGGCGCCCAAGCCCAACAAACGCTTTCCATCTTTTACTTGTGGTGACGTTTCTGGCAGCACGTCGTCGTGTAAGTGCAACCAACATGAAGTACAAAAAATCCAAAGTATAGTTACCGAACGCTGAGAAATTCTTTTTCTTGGAAGGCAGAAGCCCCCAATGTGAAGTACAAAAATCCAGAGTATAGTTACCGAACGCTGAGAAAATATTTTTCCTGGAAGGCTGAGGCCATTTTTCTTCTGGGGCAATTCTGCCAGTTGCTGGTGTGCCACTTTTTTTTTTTCCGTTTGTCATTCAAATCGGTCCAAGTCACTACTACTCTGTAAGCGAACAACTAAAAGTATATATGCCCTGGGAAAAAAATAGAAGAAGAAAAGAAGTAAAGTATATATGTCGTCTGGTAAAGTATTCTCGTGGTACTACCAACTAAGCGTACTGGATAATCATCATCTGTATGCATAAACAGGTCGCATACCGACAGCGCTAGCTGGCCGTTGATGATTGAAAGCGATGCGCCTCCGCTTTGTATATCTCCATCAGATTTGACAACGCCGCGGCGGTTCGGTGTAGTGCAGAATTAGTTAAGTTACTTATTACCTACGTGTGTGCACGATATGATCATTGGTCATCGACAATTACGAGTTGATACCGACGGACGATGGCGATAGTTACAAGAGCTGATAATACCCACACTGTCATTCTCCCCAGGACCTGGCTTGACAGAGTGACAGTGGCTCCCCCTGGGTAATTTGTATCGGATTAAGAAGGACCCGGTGATGAGATTTGTACGGCTAATCACATCTAACGTTGATCGAAATACATTTGGATGCAAAGTGATAGAATGTTGTTCAAACCATGTTATTCAAACCTTTTTTTTTTTATCGAGAAGCTTATATTGGATTAAGCAGGTGAGGCTGATTGGCTGAAGCATTTTTAATCATGAAGCTAGCTACTCGAGACATATTTAGCACAACACATGTGGAGCTACTCTTATTAGTTTAAGAGGAGAGAGAATATACGTAGATATACAAGATAATCGACTCTTTACCAAACGAACCTGCCACCATGTGGTCGTGCAACGAATGGGCCTGACTCTGTTCCACCAACTCCATCATGACTGATGAGTAGACTAGCCTAGCCTTCAATATGTCCCGAAGGCTTGATAAATCCAAGAGCTAAAACTACACGTCTGTACCATCATTATCCCCATTTTGATCGATCGGAAAACCCAAATCAATGGACCAAGTAATCTTATTCTGATCCAGTAGTCCTTGATCATTATTTCACCTAACATGATTAAAGCAACGACGGGTACCACATTGCTTTGCAAAAGGACCAAACACATCCAGTGGCCAATGGACCATATGTGTTTTTTCGGCGCTGGATTGGATCATACCTGATCTTAAACCGTGGTACCAATAGCAAGTAGAAGAAAACAAGTGAAATGACTCAAAATGTACTAATGCATTATTAACATCCCGGCCTCAGACAGAAAACTCCAATCACACAGCCCAATATTACAAACCACCAAGAACAAGAATAATGTAAAGAACAAACTAGTCAAAATCAAATAAATTTAAACATGGAGAGAGGAAGAATGAAAGAAAAGGAAAAAAAGGAAAAAAAAAGAAAAGAAAAGAAATGCATGCACATGGCTAGCTTCCTCGACCATCGTGTCCGTACACCGTCTTACAAGAGGCAGCCAACAACGGCGGCGAGCCCGGCGACGCCCCAGCCGACGGCCCTGGCGCTGGCGGCGCCCGTGGGCTCGGCGTCCTCCGCGCCGGCGGGGCCGGAGGCGGCCTCCGTGGAGCCACCCTTCTTGGGCTTGGCGGTCGACGCGGTGGGCGCGGCGGCGGGGGCCTTGACGCCGAAGAGCTCGAAGGGGAGGAGCACCTTGTCGACGGAGTAGACGGCGAGCGGCTTGACCGCGCTGAGCGCGTTGGTGACGGTGACCTCGACGACGCCGGTGGAGACGTTGACGTTGTTGTTGGTGGTGGAGGTGATGTTGAGGGTGTAGGGGCCGTCGGTGCCGGACGCCTGGGTGCGGACGGGGTTGCTGGCCGTCTGGAAGGAGTCCATGGAGTAGAACTGCGGGAGGACGTGGCCCTGGACGAGCGCCACCTGCTGCTGCTGCGTCAGGCTGTTGAGGGTGCCCGGCTTGAGGTTGTTGAAGGCGTTGTCGGTAGGCGCGAACACGGTGTAGCCGTTGCCGTTGAAGGAGTTGTTCAGCTGGCTGTTCAGCTGCGTGTCCTGCTGCGTCTCCTTCATCAGCCGGATGAACGTCGTGTACTGCCCTCCCTTCTCCAGGACCGCCGTCACGTTCGGCGGCCCCGTGGCGCCCGCCGCCGGCGTCGCAGCGGGACCCGGCGCCTGCGCCGCCGCCACCGCCGCCATCGCCAGCAACACCACCACGGCTACGCTCCTCGCCATTGTTGTGAGAGTAGTGGTGTGTAGCGTAGAAGCGTAGTGTGTGTAGTGTGTGTGTACTACGTGGTGGTAGGATTGGTTGATATAGCGGGGGTGGGGTGGTGGGGGGAGGGGGTCATCGCTGGAGGTGAGCTGGTTCGGGTGGGGACGGGTACGTGCCACCGGCCCGGGGCGGTGGTTGCGGGACGGACGGGAGGGAGGTCATGATCGGCGTGTGGAACATTCATGCGACGCGCGCGAGCGAGAGGGAGGAGTGGACTAACGGTGCTGGTACTGTAATACTGTTCGGTGGCCACGATTTGATGGCGCATGCAGTGCAGTAGTGATTTGATTCCGAATTGCTGCGGCGGCGGCGCGGCGCACGGGAAACCCGGTATACGTACGGCACGAGGAGTGCGTAGCTGCAGTGATGCACAGGCATCCGCGCGCGGCCATCAAGTCTCGTATCTATCGGGTGATTAATAGCTGCAGGGGGACATGTTTGACATTTGCTTCTTCCGATCGACGGACGAGGCAGTTAATAGCAGCAGCAGGTGAGTTGTGAGGTTTGCCCGTGAAGGACACACGATCGATCGAGTCGCGTACGGTTTTTCTCTGACAGCTAGCTGCGAGTTTCAAAGCGTACGTCACGGCATGATCGATCGATCTCACGTACGACTCCGGGCGACGGGGGGATGGAGAATTGGAGAGATGTACGCGCATGATATGATGCAAACTGTCACCTTCGCCTAGCTGACTTCCTCTCCACCACCAGCAGTATATATAAAATCCATAGTCAATTCGTCACCACTCATCGAACTTGGGCTCACCGTCACCGACAGGTTCGTGCGTGTTGTCACCGCTCCTGCACGCACGTTGGTCGTCGATCGATCATCGATCATATGCTGGGAACTACTCCAGTAGCAGTTTGCACACTGTCCATGGATCATGACTGGCCAGCTAAATAGCTAATGGAGGTGAAAACAAAGGCTACATAGATAGCTTGCTCGTACACCGATAATTGACCAATGATAATTCAGTTCCGACGTAGCGATCAATCAAACATGATACCGGGCACCGGCCGTCTAGCTCGACTTTGATTATGATCGAGCAGGTAGAGAGAGCTGCTTGCCACTATCTAGGCCGATCGATCAGCAGATGCCTGAATAAAATAAAATAAGAAGATCTCGCGCGCCAACACACACCAATAGAATACAGCGTTCTTGATCAAACTGGCAATGCTCAGCACTGATTGCTCTCTGATCCTGAACTAAGGCTAGCTCTGCAGCACGCGGGAGTTATAGCCTTACATGTCGTGAGAAAAAAAAATGAGGCGGTAGTTGATCAGATAGCGATATTTGTCTCCACTTTGCCAATTAATTGACTCGCACTCTGCTCTGCGCATTGCAAACTGAATTAAGCTGTTGCCATCACATGGCAATGTGGCAAGCTGCATCTGCAAGCTAGGCTGTTCTCTGCTGCTCTCTCTTCTCTGAAAACCACTCTCTAATTTTGGCCTTTTGTCCGGGCTATCAGCTACTACCCTCTCTATCCAACCATGAAAGCGAGATTTAACCTTCTCCCGCAGTGCGATTACGGCGCAGGTCTCCTTCCCGTTTGGTAGCATCCGAGTCACCTGAGAGAACAAAAAAAAGGGGAACGAAATGGTATAGTAATCAATCAAAACTTGCAGTCTCAGGCGGCAAATGCCGTGCATGATTTGCAGGTGAGGGTGGGTTTAGTTGGTTCGCCCACAAGTTGCAGGGGGGGGCTAAAACCTTTGGTGCGTTGGAAGCCATCATGAATGGACACCCCCCATTGCCAGGCAAACGAGGAACAGTGACAGCGGCGTCACATGCATGCCTGCTACGTTGAGCCACGCTTTCGACCGCCAGCACCCGGCCTGTCGTTGCTTGTACCGAACGGGAGCTAGCTCTTCAGATCGATCGTGGATAACGGTAGCTATAGCTGCCGTTTCTCTGCTCAGATCGAAACGAAAAAGGAAGCAGAATGTGTAGGTTTTCTTCGGTTGTCAAATGCCGATGTGTGCAGACGTACAGTACGTGGTCGTCATCATTTGATCTGGCCGTGGAGTTTGTGTGCCATTGCAATTGCAATTGGGTGTGGCTAATGGGCGATCGATCTGAGCGAAACCCATGCCCCCTGTACACACCTCTCCTCCCCTCCCCTTCTTCTCTTTCTACTACACTAAAAATTTTTAAAAAATAAAAAAACAAAGTTGAAAAAATTTATGTATAGAAATACTTATATAAAAAAATTAGAATTCAAATTTAAATTTGAAACGGATGTGTAAACTTTTGACTTATAAATTTTGGGTCTATAAACTAATATTTGAATTCAAATTCAAATTTGAATCGTGTATGTAAACTTTTGACTTATAAAATTTGGGTCTATAAATTTTAGGTGTATAAACTTTAGATGTATAAAAATACTATATATATATATAATATTTGAATTCAAATTCAAATTTAAATCGTTTATAATTCAAATTTAAATTTGAATCGGGTATGTAAACTTTTGACTTATAAACTTTGGGTCTATAAATTTTAGGTGTATAAACTTTAGATGCATAGAAATACTATATATATAAAATATTTGAATTCAAATTCAAATTTGAATCGTTTATAATTCAAATTCAAATTTGAATCGGGTATATAAACTTTTGACTTATAAACTTTGGGTCTATAAATTTTAGGTGTATAAACTTTAGATGTATAGAAATACTATAAATAAAATATTTGAATTCAAATTCAAATTTGAATTGGGTATCAAATTCAAATTTGAATCGGGTATATAAACTTTTGACTTATAAACTTTGGATTTATAAACTTTAGATGTATAGAAACACTATATATAAAAAATATTTGAATTCAAATTCAAATTTGAATCGTATATAAACTTTTGATTTATAAACTTTAGGTCTGTAAACTTTAGATGTGTAAACTTCAGGTGTATAAACTTTAGGTGTATAAATTTACTAAAATAGGAAAGTAATATGGTGTAAAAAAAAAACACGTGGAGGAGGGGGGGGGGGAAACCGATCGCTCCTGGCGATCAATCGCCAACTGGACTCTAGGAGTTTCGATTGCAATTGGTCTTGCAGGAAGACGAGACATCTCTCGTTTCTGAATGTGGAATTTTTTTTATTTTTAATTTTTTTTATTAAAAGTTTTACAAAAATAATTTTCCATTTTGAAAATTGACGGAAGTAGTCGCCTACCGCCCTCTGGGAAGGCGATTTTTAAAAATCGCCCTCCCAGAGGGCGGCCAAAATGACGTGGCAGACGGCCGTTCGCTCTCGGGCGACGGCCGTCAACGAAATTTGCAGGCGGCCCCCTTGCCGCCCTCCGCGAGGGCGATTTTGTACTGTGCGGGGGGCCGCCTGCAAATGGGCGGCGAGGGGGGGCATGGAAATTTGCAGGCGGCCCCTTTGCCGCCCTCCGCGAGGGCGATTTTGTACTGTGCGGGGGCCGCCTGCAAATGGGCGGCGAGGGGGCATGGAATTTTGCAGGCGGCCCCCTTGCCGCCCTGGGGGAGGGCGATTTTGTACTGTGCTCTATATTTTTGTATAAATATCAATAGTTATCAAATCTTTTTATATTGAAAACTATACAAAATTAAAATCTCCAAGTCTGGTAAAATACAATTTTATTATTTTTTAGGGCATATTTGGATTGTTACCGTACAAATATTTTGTTACCGTACAAATATTTTATTAATTTTTAGGGCATATTTGGATTGTTAGTGCCAAATTTTTCTTCACGACCAAATATTTGGTAAGGTAAAATTGCATTTGATCATATTTGGTTTGCTGCCAAAATGTAAAATTGTAGTGAAGAATGTTCTATATAATCTCAAATCTAGATTACGTATTACCAATGAATAGGCTTCCATTTTCGTGTGTTGTGTGCTAGTGGGAAAGAAGATATGAAGAGGTTGCCTTCAGATTGTCAATTATATAGCGTCGTTTTCACTGCAATATATGTGAACTCAATGAGATACATTATTCATTAGATGTGACAAGACGATCACGCGTGGGCGTGATTCACTTTATGTAAACAGGCAACGCCGAAAGTTGATAGTGATAACTCGAGCTGCCGCTTTTCATGTGTGCTGTTGTGGACTGTGCGCGCTACTGGATCTGACACTACCGTGCAGCGCCGAAAGTGTGTTGTCGTGAGCATAAGTTGTTCTAGCACCATATGAATGAAAAGAACTATGTAGACGAGACAAACACAAGTAGTACTGCAGTAGTAATAGCAAAAGTAGTACTGCTTTACAAGTTTGTAAGCCAAAAGAAACGGTCACATAAGGACTGAAGAGGTAGAATACTACTGACGAGGCCTCTTACCCCTGTCCCTCCTACCCTGCGCCCTAATGTGCCCGTGGGAGTACGTGAGTCGGTCCGGGGGTACGGCACGGCCAACCCGTCCTGCCTGTACAGGTGTGACCTCTGGCTGCTCCTGAGTGTGCGCCTCTGGAGCTCCTCCAAGCTGAGAGGAGCCTAGTACGTCGTGGTGGTCTGCACCGTGCAAGTCGTCGTCGTAGAACTGGCTAGTAGGACCAGTCCTACCGGCGTGAGACGAAGAGGCCCCAGTACCGAAGATCCCGGCTGCAAATCCTGCTGGACAAGGACCATCAGTTTCGTACAGGTATTTAACAGTATTAATAAAAAGTAAAGTACCGTATGGGCGAGGGATCGACGCTCCGTGAGAGGAAGAGCTGGCGAACGCGCCCGAAGAGGTGGCGAACGCCCCTGCGGAGCTCGTGGAAGCGCCGGTCGTGCCTGCGAACGCGCTCGAAGGCAGACGAGGTCCTGCGATGAGGAAACGTGCAGTTAAAACATGGTGACATAATCGTGCAAAAGCTGAAACAAAAATGAACTAATATCTGGGCTGAACTGTACCGTGCGAAACCGGTGCTGTAGGTCGCACTGCTCCGAAGCTAGGGGCGCTCGAAGGCAAACGAGGTCCTGCGAGGATGGAACATCAAGTTACGACGGGGTGATGTTTTCGTATAAAAACAGAAACAAAACTTAAGAAACCTCTGGGCTGAGCAGTACCGTGCGA